TTTGATGGGTCTGCAATTAAATCATTTTGCAAGTCATATGTATTATATCTCTGCCTGAATTTGAATTTGACAATATGGAATCATTATCTAAAAGAAACACAAAGTTCTCATTATAAAGTGTGTCAACATTTTTAAATAGATAGGACAAAGATGTAAGTAGACTTTATCTTGTTATCTAAGTTTTATAATATCAGTAAGGCTACCATATCATGTTAAAAACAAGAAGAAAACATTCTAAGGTTGCAAACCTTAGTATGTTTTCTTAGAATATTTCTTCACAGCTTAATTTTGAAGTTTATTCTAATTATAAGAAAACTAAGATTTACAAATAAAAAAATTGCATATATCTTCATAGGCTTGTTTTGTAAAAAAAACCTAAAATGTAACACAAAAATTCAGTACTATTCTTCATATACCATTTAGATTTCTGTTTTTAAGCTATTTTAAGATTTCATAACACTGATACAAGTAAACAATTTACTGAACCTGTAAAAATGATTTCTAGAAATTTGTAAAATAAAATGTTAAAATAATTCTTTGATGATCCAAGCAAATCAAAATTCTAGACCAGGAGTTGGCAACCTTTCGTTACTAAGGGTGCAATATAAATTTTAAAAACCATCGAGAGCACATAGTTTAATTTTTGAAAAAAATCACAATGCTGTAATAAATAAACAAAATAATTATGTTTTGAAATATGTATATTTATAGAAAATAATTATTATACATACATGTAATAACTAAAAAATGAAAATTAAAAGTACATACATAAAATAACACGAAATCAAATTAAATAAAATTATAAGTATGTACAAAGGTGTTTCAATAAGTAATGCCTTTTATTTTTTTAAACAAACATTTTAATGTTTACACAAAAATGTGAATATAGTAAATGGAGTTTGAATATTTGGCAACATTATTGCATGATAGGAATACTTGTGCCGCCTGTCATCCATTTCTTACAAACAGAAAGAAAATGACATGCACATTATCATCATCCACGCTCCAAAAGCAGAGAAGTTTTGTTCATTTTCTATGGGGGGCAAGAAATGTGGACAAATTCATGTGGAAATGCGGAAGGTTTACGGTGACAATTGAATGGACTATTCAAATGTCTGTCAATGGTGTGAAATGTTTAAAAATAGTCATCAGTGTGTGATTAATGAGCACAGGTCAGGTCATCCAGTAAGTGCAGCTTTGCTTTAAACAGTCACTGCTGTTGATCAAATGAGTCAAAGCAAACCTCATTCACTTGAAGACGCTGTTGGAAAAATTTGACATTTCAATTGGAATGGCTTAAGATATCATGCATGAGAAGCTGGGGTACAGAAAAATTTGCACACGCTGGGTACTTAGACACCTAATGGAAGAGCACATGGCCACAAGAATAATAATGTCCTTGAGTCATTTGGAACAATATGAAGAGGAAGGAAACAACTTCATTCAACAGATCATCATGGGAGACGAATCGTGGGTACACCATTTCATTGCAGAGACAAAGGAAGCAAGCATGGTTTAGAAGCATCCAAGTTCTCCCTCCCAAAAAATTCAAGGTGAAGCAGTCTGCAAGGAAAGTCATGGTAACCGTATTTTGGGACTGCAGGGATGTTCTATTGACAGATTTTCTCCCTTATGGAAAAACTGAATTCTGATAGTTACTGCAAAACCCTGAAGTGTCTGCGACAAGCTATCCGTGACAAGAGACCACACTTGCAAGCATGCAAAATTCGACTTCTTCATGATAATGCCCACATACTTTGACAAAAGTCCATGACCTCATTTCATCCTTCAGATGGGAAATTCTGCATCAACCTCCTTACATTCCCAATTTGTCACCAAGCGATTTCCACTGGTTCGGTCCATTGAAGAAACTCCTGGCTGGAGAGAGGTTGCATTCCAAAGAGAAGGTTAAATCAGCTGTTTGCAGATGGTTGTGTAGCCAGGAATTGGCATTCTAAAATGCAGGCATCTTCAAGCTGGTACACTGCTGGGACAAGTGCTTGAACTTGAATGGTTCCTATGTCAAGAAGTAGCCTAATCCATAGATTTCATTTTGTATATTTTATATTTTCCTTATGCATTAAAACTTTTGCATAAAAAAATAAAATGCGTTACTTATTAAAACCCCTCATATATTTGCACTTGCATGACTATGGTTCTAGAGGGTTTTAGTGAAATGTGCCATATTGCTGACCCATGTACTAAACAAAACAGTCTTCAATCTCAGTCAATTCTATCTTTTGAACTTTTTTAATGGTTTATAAAACATAGGTGCTTGTAAAATCTAAAAAACTGAAATTATCATTTTCTTTAAATACTTTGTTTATGTTAAAAAAATATGAATAATGCATACAGCTGCTAATTGAGGAAATCAACAACTTTTATTAAATAATAAATCTGAAAAAATAAATTCATATACTTATGTATTCTGTATATTTTAAATTTGTTATACTTGTTGATTATAGCTTATATTTTCTTATTTTAATAAAACTAANTGTATTATTCATTGTAAATATACATTGATATATGAACCTTAAAATCAAAAAAAAATTTACACTTTTACAAGTAGATAATATATATATTTAGAAGAACAAGTTTGAAAATATATTGTAAGATTTCATATCTGGTTTTTCACATCTTCAAATGAAATTTAAATAAAACAAACTCAACCTTACTTGAAATGAATTATAACAATGAACTCTTTGAAAGTAATGTTATAATTGAAAAATGATAAATCAAATTACATAACTAAAATGAAATAAAAGAAATACAAAAATAAAATATACTTTTGCCATTTTTATTCTTGTCTAAAGTCTTTCAGCAATTAGCTATTATTTTTATTACTTTAGAATTAGAGAAAGAGACAGAGAAAATCATATAAATGTATCAAGATTATTATAAAATATACAAATCCAATATTCAAATTCTATCATAATTCTAACAATCCTATCAAAAACACAAAGCAAAATTCAAAAACACTATGTACTAATTTTGACTTATTCCAGAAATCAAAAAATGTATTAAATATTTGCTTACTTTCATATTACAGGTATACCTCACTTTAAGTCAGTAATTGGTTCCAGGAGAGGCAACTTAAGTCAAAAAACGACATAAGTTGAATTTACTTGTCACTAGGCTAAACCACAAATAACCATTCCCAGTTCTGTATTTTATTTATAAATGCATTTTTAATAATATATGGTTAATAAGAATCTATTTTAAGCTTGCAAACAAATAAATTTAAGTTTTTAATATAGTACAGAAAAAAAAATTAATCTAAATTTACAAATACATGTAAGTACAGTATATACTTGTAAATGTACATGTTTACAATTTGGTGATGTTTACAGTACAGGTAACCCCCGTATAACACGGTAGTTACGTTCCAAAAAATTGCCGTGTTATGCAAATCTGTGTTATACGAAACAAAGAACTAATAGGAAAAGGAGGGTTAGGTTCCAAAAATTAAAAAACATGCTAGTATATTTTCATAATTAAGATAAATATCTTCATTAAAATTTTTTTAAGTGATACATATTAATATAAATTAAACAATGTTTTCTTCGTCATCACTAAAAACACTATTAATTAACCGAGAGCGTTTTCTTTTTGGCAAGTTATCCTTATCCTCTGAGCATTTTTCTGCATTATCTTCAGATCCATGCTTTACCTTTTGCAAAATGTATGTAATTTTAGATTGCTTGCTTCTAGTTAAAAGGTCTTTATAAATTTCCTTATATGGTGCTAAGCACTTATGAAGAATAAAGCAAGTATGGAATAAGGGAAAAACATTCGGCAACATCAGAAGCAGAAGCGTCGCGATCTGGCAACATTGAAACAAGTTTCGAGAAGGACCACGTGTATCGACAGAAGGCGAGAAGAGAAAATTTACATACTTAAGTACTAATAGTTCACGAAAATAATAATTTTCGTGAACTATTATTACTTAAGTATGTAAAAATTTATTACATTTCCTGTTGTAAGAGGGTTTTACCCAATTCTCGAATCGTGTCAGAGTGAATCCGTGCTATAAAAGTACCGTGTTATACGGGGGATGGTACTAATTCTCGAACCGTGTTAGAGCGAATCCGTGCTATAGAAGTGCCGTGTTATATGGGGGTTACCTGTACATTGCAGACTCTTTATTTGTGAATGTGGTTTCTCTAAGACATTATAAAATAAGATGATTTTTTAAGGTTAAATAACAAATACAGTTATTAAAACTATTTTGCAATAGTAGAAAAGATTTATATTAAAGTTACCAATATCGAGTGGTGCTGACGACGACACCAAACGGTAGATGTTAGAACTACCGTGGCAAATGCCAATAATGAGCATTTAAAGACTGCTAAATAAGAGGACAATACAGAAACACAGATGTTTTCATGTTTTGTTCTCTAGGATTTATGATGATTATATTAACATTTATTGTAAATGTACATATTTTAAAAAGATTTTATGTGCTTTTAACACTTTTCTAGTGATATTAGGACTTCAATAGTTGTGGCGGACGGACGTAAAGTCGAATAAAATGACTTAAACTTGATTTTTATTTTTCCATATATTTTTTTGACAAACAACGTATAATTGAGAACAACGTAACTCAAGGTATACCCGTACATAGATTTATACAAATAAATCTTTGTTTTAACTAATTGCAGCAATATCTTAATTTGCTCTAGAAACATAAAAAGAATTCAAACATTCAATTTTGTTAATGCAATCAAGAACAAAACAACTAAAAGCATTTTATCACCTGTTTTTCTATTCTTCTCAAAGCAGAAAAGAGTTGAGAATAAAATATGTAAATTACTTACTAGTGGTGGCTGTCATAACACTTTGAATTTCACCATCATAAATGAACATTTTTTTACAAGAATCAATAACAAAATTTAAAAATAATTTATAAAAGATTTCAATAATAATATCTAATACAAAATATTTTTCTTTCCATTCTATATATATGCATTATCTATAACAGTTTTAGAAACTGAAATATCAAATTAAATTTGATTTTTTAATCTTTAGTAAGCAAAACTATCACTTTTGTATACTTAAAAGGAAAACTAATGAACAAATTCAGTCATCTGGGTATCGACAAAATTCTATAGTCATTATAAGTGGATTTAAATGTTGTAGTATTTAATTTGTTAGACAAAATGCTATTACTCATCAATTTCATTTTCTAAAATTAGATATTACTACATCATATCCTTTACTTCTTGCCAGATAAACAATTTTATTTCATCAATGTCCAGCATTTTAGCAATCATGGAATTTTTAAGACTCAAATGCAACAACAGTTATTTCATCTAAAACAATACAATATATAAATATAAGGAGTGTATCAATGGACTCACCATTATCCACACTTTTTGTAGATATCCTCACGTTAACGCAAGTTTAAATTATTCCATCATTTGCTAACCATATATTTAAAATTCCTTTACATGCACTAAGTTAATGATATCCTATTAGTCTGGAATGCATTAATTGAGGATTTTAATCATTTTCTTTATTCAGAGTATTTATCTGCAAATAAAGTTCATTGTATAGCATGATACTCCAACTATATAACAAATTTTAGACCTAGATGTAATGAGAAATGGTTTCTTGCTCCTCCAATTTTCTTACAAATAAGTCAATCCTCACATTACATCAAAAGCTAAAGCTGGTTAAAGGAAACCAAGTTACTTTTAAATAATCAACAATCATTCTATACATTCAATTCACATATACATCTTCACTAAAGTACATCAACATTTATTAAAGAATTAAAAATGTTTGCCTCTTACAAGCCAATTGAATGAAACACTCAAAACAATAAATTCAAATTTGATTCCAGACATCTAATAGCTGACAACATGTTTTAAAATATTACGGAAAGCAGGACAATAAAATTTCATTTTTGAATAGACAGTTAACATCAAAATCAGATATGTATCAAATTACAAGCAGGATATTATTTTAAACAAATTTTCAACTTAACAGTCATTATATTATCAAAGTATTATAATTAGAAGTCACAGTTGCTACATTAATACATTTACATAAGAAAAAAACTGTAAATAGAAGTCCAATGTATAAAACAAAGTTACTGATGTTATTTAAACTAAGCTGGATAATTATTGCATTACAATTAATTTGATGAAAAAATTTTTGTAATGCAATGTAACATCAAATAAATTTATTAGAAAACATACTTAACATTTAAACTATTAACTTGCCTTTTTGGTTGGTTCCTTTCTTTTCAATTTCTTTTTTCTTGTCTATCTGTTTGTTCACAGCTATGGAAGAACTAGTGTTTGATGAAATATCTTTTACAATTGTCTGAGTTTTCTCAGGTATATATGATTTCTGCTCCTCCTTCTCAGACACTAAAAATAAAAATAGAAAGTTTATAGCAATTTTATATGTGACATATAAAAAGTTATATTTCAATTTCTAAGAATTTTCAAATTATCTACTATTGGTATAATTATCAGTCAAAAAAGAGTGACTTTATAGTTATCCAGAGTTGATTATTGCTATAGAATATCTTTAATGTTATTCTAAAACTAAATTTCTTAAAATGTGACTAAAATCTTAATTTCATTTAAAGTTGAAAAAGTTGTTCTTACAAATACAAATTTTTTTCACAATTAGTTATGAATAATAAATTTAATTTTTATCAAATACATAAAAAAAATACAGCTTATTCAGAAGAAAACTGTCAAGAGGACATTGAATTTTGATTGCAAAAGTCAAGATTTCTTTGGAAAGAGTGAAGTGGGTATTCCATTCTTAAGGCTCAAACTCATCTTAGGTCATGTCCAAAGACAAGTTTCATCAACAGTTATCATTCTGTCTAAAATGTGAAATCTGCTGTCAATGTTTCAAACAGCTTAGATTATCATTCTGGAAGCCATTTAATCAACAGTTAACATTTGGGAAATGAACTTTGCACACACCTGGTGCATTTCCAAATCATTGGTTACTAACCCAGAGGAAATTCCAGTGACAACCATAATCTGATGACTGGTGTCATTGGAAGATTGCTCTTATTATGGCTAACATATCTCTGTTCCAATGTTGAGGGTTGTCCACTGTGTGCCTCATCATCCAGTGACTCCTGGCCACTCTAAACAGAGTGAAGCACTTGTAAACTAATGTTTTCTTCAAACATCACTGTACACTGTTTGAAGGGCTCAAAATTTCTGCAGTGGTTTTGCCCAATTTAAACATGAATTTGATGTTTACCATTTGCTTAAATTGAGACATTACATAAACGTTTACAGAACTCAACTGGATTGCTAGCTGTACACACACCATCTGCCAATTGCTGTAGGTCAAGTTGTTTTGATATTTTATGGTAATTCCATAAACTTTTCAAAAATATTGGTATATTTCAAATAAAAATAAAATTTTTCCAATTTCTCATAAGAAAATTATCCCAGATTGAACAACAGGAATAAAATGTTTTAAACTAATAAACAGACAATAATTAATCTAAATTGGACATGAAAATCTGATGAATTTGGTTATTATACAGAAAATTACTACTCACTACACCTGTATAACAATCACATACACTGAACCAATTTACGGTGTGGTACGATCAACTAACCAGTACAAAAACAAACGTTTTTGAACCTCTTCTGGGCTCTCCTCCTCGGGGCACCTCCCAATGATCATCTCAAATGATTAGAGGCGATGCACATCGTTAAATCCTCTATCAAAACCACGCGCATAAATTTTAAAGAGGAGATGATTTTGTCGATGGCCTGGCAAGAGTTGATACACAGCACGCTTTAGCCGCTCCTAATATCTGAGCAGGCTGACTCGTCACACATGTGCGACATACAATTTTTAAAAGAACTGTTCGAACTCAAGAACGAAGTTATTTAAAAGGCATTCATTAATCGAATTTACAAGCTAAAGCTGTAGGAACCTGATGAAGAGCCCAGAAGGGGTTCAAAAATGTTTGTTTTTGTACTGGTTAGTCAATCATACCACACCGTAAATTGGTTCAGTGTATGTGATAGTTATTATACAGGTTGTCCACTTAAACATCTATCCAGGAAAAAAAGATCTTCCAGCATTGATGAGAGTTGCTAGTTCCAACTAAAGGGAAATCAATTTAAGATGATTTAGCATAAAATACAAATAATCTTTGATTGTAAAAGATAAAGACAATATTGAAAAAATTTGTACAGAAAAGTGAGCTTTATTTTGTTAGAGAACATGTTCAAAACAACTGCCTTCAGTGGCACTACAAAGATGTAGATTGGTTGAGCCTGGCATTATGAATAGAAAGTAACATCCCTGATGTCACCATTTCTTTTCTCTTTCCAGTCCATCAATATCATGCAGTGCTGCTGAATATGCATCATATACTGATGCTTTTAGTAATTAACAAGAAAAAGTCCAGATCAATCAAATCTGGAGAACATCATGGCCAAAGAACAAGACTAAACTGTCTTATCCAGAGTGTCAAAATGATCTGTGATTCAATGATGCACACATCTGACTGGGAGTGAAGCACAGTGTCCTATTATGCTGGTACTAAACCTGCTGTAGTTGTGCCAATAACAAGTCAAACCATTTGTCCACTGTCAGGGTTAGCAAGTTCAGATATCAGGGTGCCATAGATGAATACAAAACCAAGAAGCTGCTCACATCAAATTCTGCACCAGACATTTAAAGTAAAACAAACTTGGTAGTGTATCAGTCCATTCTTGAAAAACAGCACCTTGTCAGTCCATAAGATGTGCTGAAAAAATTGTGATTCATGCTGTAAATTTAACATTAGGTTGCACCACTTAAATATCTTTCTAGCATACTCTACAGGTTTCCCTGATTGAAGATAGCAGCATGAGTGCCTGTCAAAGTGATATAATATCCAGTATTTTTGTGTCTACTGCACATAACCTAACCTAGAAAGATCTCTTTTGCCTGTGGACATATGTTGAAGTGGACACCCTGTATAGTGCTTCTCAAAAGTACTCAGATTATAATATGGTGCAGAAGATGCAATACTAATGTTAATCATTGAATTATCTTTTATAATTTCTACATTTAGATTCTATTAAAATAAAATTAACAATCAAAATTATACAGTCTGTAACACAGATCAAGTATAGGAATTCCTAATGTTCCTGACTTACAAGATGTATCACATTTACATTTCTTTTAGAAATAGAAAGAAACCAATACAAAAAATTGGCATTAATATAAACCTAAAATGCACTCATGCCAATAATGCAGAGTTCTTTCAACAATGTCAAAACACTGTTGAGAGAACTATGTTTTGACTGTCAAACAAGCACCACTGTCAAACAAATTCAACATAGGAGACCAACAGTGAATATTACAACACAAGGCTGCAACTCAACATAAATGTTCTAATTTCACTTCTATTGCTTTTTGAATAATTACAGTATATATTATCTATTAAAATGTGTATTTATGTTAAAAAATATTTAAAATACTTATAGACAGTTTTAATTATCAAAATATTATAATATATACATGAAAATATTTCGGGGAATGGAACATAACTCATTCAAATACGTAACTTGTATTCCATTTACAACACTTCTTTTGGGGATGTAGGATTTCATCATAAATTGCAGGTTGACTACAAAAACTAATATGAAATTCTGTCATATTTTCTGAATAGTCATTTTTATCTTTAATGCATCATATTAACCTGACTTCTAATAATTGATTTATTATTACTCTAATAAAAAATAAATACATTCCTTTCATGTAAGTTGTGCAATAGCCTATAACAGTTACCAATAATTAAACTCTTCAAAAGTAATTTTTTGTGTTAAACTAAATGTATTTACTTTTTACTTTATTTTTAATAAAAAATTTGAATTACTCTATGCCTATTTATAATTACCTCCATTAACTTTATGCTCTATAACTTCTGACTGCTGTGTATCAAGCTGGCTACGACTTGGAGTGTACTGCTGAGAGTGATTTGTTGGAATAGTTGGAGATTTAGAAGCCGAATTAGTAGTACAGGTTGTTGATGGAATGGATGCAGAATTTGTAGATGAACTAGATTTATAATGACTATGAAAAGGTGCATTGGAATTATGCTGATTTTCAACTGAAGTATGAGATCTACTTGTTGCTGGATGCGTGGTAACTTGAGGAGAATTTCGAATTATTTTTGAACTCTGCATATTTTTCCGTCGCATTGGTGGTCCATATCTATTAAATTAGAATTTTTATTTTAATAAAACTAATTTTACTTATTGCCATTTCATTTCAAATAAATAAATACATATTGCTAATCTCAGGAAAGCCAATTTTTCATTAATTAATTGAAAGGAATGTTTCCAGTCAAACCTGACCACCTTCAGATTACTGTCATTTCCTTTCATATTTCATTAATACTTTTTACTAATAATTGTTTTAAAATTCCTTCTGAACTAAGGACATTAAGAGGACTTTTCCACATTGATCATGGGTTTAGCCATTTCCACAATTGAAGTGGCCAGAATTTATATATCTGAAGTTGATCCACCAATGAAATTTAATTCAGTCTGGAATTCAGGTTCCCAGAAAGATATCAAGAAAATCAGAAAGTTGTAGCTGAATTATGCTATAGAAGTGATTTCATTCAAAGAATACAAACAACATTAATCAAAATAGTAATCAGTTCTATATTGTTAGTTATTACTCAGGACCATCATTCAATCAGTTTTTGAATGACTATCTCAAAAAAGAAAAAAGGCAGCTGCTTGAAATTTCCTTTGCTTTTAAGCAGCTACCTTTTTTTTTTTGACACTTTTGACCATCAAAAGTGTCAAAAAAAACATGATTTTGCAAACATGAAAACAGGTAAAAATCTGATGGCATGACATTAGATTTTTACCTGGATGGATTAATGAGTTTCCAACCCAGCTGCTGTAAGTTAAAGATCAACATCTTACTGATATGTGATTCAGTGTTATTTTGATGGAACAAAACTCTTTTCTAATAAGCTAATGATAAGCAAGTTTCATCACTCTTAGCAGCAATATATATTATAAAGCATATTTCAGTAGTTATCACTGTCAATCATTTTGCTTGATACCTTGACAATCTCAGAACATACACAGCAGACATCTTGTTGCTCAGAGCCTGCATAGATTTGATTTCACTAGACATTATATAGACATCTAAGATAGTTGAATTTCCAAAGTAAATTAACTTCTTGTGACAGATCACAAAGCAATCAAAGGAGGAGCAATTCAAATATCAATTCAGCAGCAATGTTCACTTGGAAATGTGTTATTCTTATTCTGTTCAGTTAGGATGTGCAGCTTCTACTGTGTACTTGATGTGTTAGTCACTTCAGTGCCTTGCAAAACCATTAACTGAGCAAAGCCCAGTACAGAAGCTATCCCATATGATTCCAGTATCCTCAGTGACTAGTGGCTTCATCATCAATAACCTCCTACAGTTGTCAAGAGCATAGCTTATCTTCAGTACTGTAGTCCCCAAACCTAAACTGAAGGAACCAATTTCTAACAATGTGCTCAGATGGCCATTGTCACCTAAACTTTTTACCAAATTTTTGATGATCTGGTTCACAGACAATATGAACTGAAACTCAGAGACTGGTGATCTTTTCATAAACTTCTTGAAAAGTTACACAGTTTTGTATATCTCGTTCATGTTTATATTTTGAGCTACCAGTTGAAAAAAAATCTTTTTTAATTCTTATGCAAATGCATCAATGTGATTTTCTGAATGCTTTTTTCT